AGCAACTAAAATCTCTGCTTCTAATCTAGGAAACAAATATCCACAGACAGCAAGCTCTTTCCAAGTAGCACTATTTGCAAGCCTCAACCCAATCAAAACTAGAAAGTTAGTATTAGATTTTAGTTACATTTATGGTATCAAAATCAAATTCAATGTATTCTATCAATCCACTCTCACTGGAGGTTGATAGAAGCAGTGATTATTAACATAAATTACTATAATAACTATGAGCCATTAGAACCGGAGAATCACTCACAGTTAAAACTTAACAGTAGACTTAGAAAGCTTCCTTGGTCTATTAGTAAAATTAAGAGAAAAATTTTCCTAAATGCCTTGTTGTAATAACATGAGAGAATACTCTTCAATAGGTTGACATTTATTTTTTTTATTTTTTTATTTTTTTAAGTTTTAGGTGGACACAATATCTTTATTTTACATTTATGTGGTGATGAGGATCAAACCCAGTGCCTCGTGCATGCTAGGCGAGAGCTCTACCACTGAGCCACAACCCCAACCCAGGTTGACATTTCTATGCTCAACTCCACTATCTGCTTTCTTACTTGGAAAAAGCTACATAAAGTTTTGTACAGGAAAGCATCTCTTACAACCAGGAAATTAAGAATAGTGAGTGGTTATGCTTATACTTCCTCTCTCTTTCCCATTGACTCCTTTTTCCTCTCAAGGCCATTAAAAGTGAAATGGCATCTCCATTAAGAGAAAGGTTTATGGCTACCAATCTTTGCAAAACCACATAATCAAAATATTCCAGGTGTTTCTCTGGTAGAATACGTCCTCCCTGTCCATGTTACATCAACTGACACTGTTACAGGCACAGCTAAGGTTACAGAATCCTTGATGAATATTAGACCGTAATGTAAGCCATGTCAGCATACAAATGTGAAAGAAAAGGGCTGGGGCTGTAGCTCAGCGGCGGAGTGCCTGCCTAGCATGTGTGAGGCACGAGGTTTGATACTCAGCACCACATAAAATAAAGGTATCATGTCATCTATAACTAAAAAAAAATTTTTTTAAATATGAAAGAAACAGTGTCACGTGAAAAACAGAAATAAAAAGAAAAATTATGTTCCATCTAGCTTAGAAAAGAAACTCAGACATGTTTAGGGTACTAAAACCCTAAATCCCTGCTCACTTATTACCATGTTTAAAGCAACTAAAATCTCTGCTTCTAATCTAGGAAACAAATATCCACAGAAATAAGAAACCTCCTGGTGCTGAATCCACAAAACTCCACAGTAATCTTGGTTACTTTTTATACTCTTGACATTTAAAATACCAGAAATACAATCCCGAGTGCCTTTTCCTTACACCTGTCATGTTGCCACACAAGATCACCAAGACACTGACTAAAACCTATGAATACAGATCAGTGACATTTCATTCTAAACTATTTGAGCACTTAAAAGCCTAGAGCCCATTACTTAATATAGAGAAGTGTATGCACACTAGATAGTGAAAAATAAAGGACTCCAACTAGTGCCACTACCAAATGGAAATACAGAAGTGATACTCTTTTCCACGAGTTATTTGGCAAAATACTGATTTTAAACAGGGATATTACATTAACAATTATCTTTGTACACAGAGAATTCTGACAATGGAAGACTTTTCTGAACTAAATGGCATGTCCCTGGCTTAAAAGAAAACCTAAAGGGATCAACAAAGTTTTAAATAGAATTTAATATTTAACTATCTAATTTCACCTCTGTTGATCAACAGTCAACTCTGAAACAATATTAGAGCCAAAAGTTTATTATAAACACTTTAACAGGTTTTGCCTCTGTTCCTTAAGTTGGCCTAAGACTACTCTCCTGATTTTGATTACCTTCTGATATGGATTATCACTTTTGCAAAGTCATTCTTATAAACTCAATCTTTCTCTTTCTCATCTTTTATTGGATTTTAAAAATGCTCTCAAAGAGCAGGAGTTGATTGAATGGCAAAAATAATACACACACATGCATTTATGACATGATATGGAACATATGAAATGGACTGTGAAAGTGGGGAAGGAATAAACTTTATTGGCCCATAGAAGGGATGAGGGAACAAGAAGGAAGGGCTGGGAAAAAGAATGAGTGTATGTGGGGAAACTAAAACTGAATGATTTAAATGTGCAAATACACTTTGTAACCTCCAACAATCAATGGAGAAGTAGATATGTACATAAGATACAGGAGGCTAAACTGAGTTTCACTTTGTAGTTGATGCTACTTGTACCAGCTCTATTATTAGTAAGTCACCATTTAATTCTGTCACATCAGACAAGGCTCCCTCTGGTTAGTGTAAACAGGTTTTCCATCCTGGGATGCAGTGTGACCCGCCAGCGCTCAGAAGGCATGCTTGTGACGAACTTGCACACCTTCCAGTTCCCCACCTCCAACGGCGGCCAGGGTCTCCAGTCTGCTTAAGCGCTCCAGGCTTCTTCCAAGAATTTCTTCTAGCCGACTGCGTAATACCTGGGCCCCTTCGAGTTCCACCTGCAGAGTTCGATCTCTCTCAGAGCTGATTGAACATGCCACATGGAAGGAAAATGGATTAGCCATCAACTGTAACAAGTCCACATATGTTTCCAAAGAGCCATCAATGCTACTCTAGACTGTGAGATTTTCTAAAGTAATGTTCTCCAGGACATCATAAATGAATGAGCTCTTTGGTGCAGCACATGTAGTCACTACTGATAGATTTGCAAGGCCTGTTCTTTCTTCAAAGCCTGCCCCTTTAGGCCAGATTCTGGGCAAATCTCAAATAAAATTATAGTCTTATGATTGCTCTCACTCTCCTACAGGCCCCATAAGAGAAATTTCATTATTAAAAGCTTTAGTTTCTGAAAAACTAAAACCAGGAAAAATTAAATGTAAACTGAAAGGCATGGGGATATAGCTCAGTTGGTAGAGTGGTTGCCTCATATGCACAGGCCCTAGATTCAATCCCTAGCACCACAAAAAAAAAAAAAAAAGTAAACTTGCTTCCATGTTTACCCAAAATTATTGTAATGCTGAAAAATGTCTGACAAAGGTAGCGTAATTCAGAAGACCCTGTGAAGCAAGACTGAGCCAAGTAGAATTGCTGAGGATAGCTATTTTTTACCAAAATGGACAGTATTCTGAAAATAAATCCAGTTCATGAAGACTAAAGATCCAGGGGTTCTTTAAAAAATAACACAAGCAAGTGGTCCTATCATACCTTTCCCCTGCTTTCATTTTCCTGAGTAAAAAGAAAATATTTTTAAGCCCAACAAGAAATTAGAAGAAATGGGAATAATAAAAATTTAAAACTGTGAAAGAGGAAAAAAGGACTGGGAGAGAAAGCGAAATGAGGCGGGGGGAGGGTAATATAAAATAAACACAAAAGATAAAATATACATGACCAAAAATTAAGAGAAAAATACAAGAAAATATAATCATCATGATGATTATCGATGATTCTGAGGTAATATTAGGTATTGCAATGACTATATTACCTTCAATGATATTCAATGATACTAAACTAATATCTGAGACCTTTGTAGCTGTCCTTTTATAACAGAACAGCCTTTAACAGGACATGGAGCAGAGAAAAGAAAGGAACATACACCAAATGCTTACCATATGCAAAGCACTGTTTAGATGCCTAAACTGTCTTCTCATTTAATCCTCACTTAACTATGTGAAACACACTATTCCTGACAAGATTTAGACACTGAGGCTTGGAGCCATCTATGCAACAAATAACAAAGTGGACAGCTTTCTTTTTCTCTCTTCTTTGGTATTATTAGCATCTGCACTTAATAAAGAACAGAAGAAATAAAAGAAATGAAAAGAATAAAAGGAATATTTTTTTTAAAAAAAGGGAAAAACAAAGTTGGGCATGACAGCACATGCCTATAATCTCAGTGACTTGGGAGACTGAGGCAGGAGGATCACAAATTCAAGGCCAGCTTCAGCAGCTTAGTGAGATCCTGTCTCAATAATAATAATAATAATAATAATAATTTAGTAAAGGGAAAAGTTACTCTCTTACCTCTCTGGATGGGCATGGAACTTCACCAAGCTGCTATAGAGCTGTCTCTCAGCTTGTAAGGCCTCATTGAGTCGACTCTTTTCGTCTACTAGTCCTTCTAGCATCAGCAACAACTGAAGAAAGAAAAGAAGCAACATACAAATGGAAAAGTGAGGCGTGAGGCCAAGTTTATCCTGAAAAAAAGAAAAATGTATTTGCACATACTCTGACCAAAAAGTCCCAGTCTTTTATTACTTAAGATCTCTGTAGTATCTTACAGTTTTAATCAATGACACAATATCATTTTATATCTTAGCTGAATTCAGATATGAGCGCAAGAAAGAAAAAAAAGGAGACAAAAGTCAGAAGCATAGGAAAGAAGCCCAAAAAACAGTGAGAAAGGATAGGAAAGAGGGAAACATACAATAGGACTTTCTAGTTTTCAATGTTCATGCAATAAACATTTACTGAGCACCTTTTAATGTGACAGACTCTGTTCTAATTCTAGGAAAAAGCTTACTATCTAGTGGGAGGAAAAGACATCCATCAATCATACGTATGTCCTGTGAGATATACTACATGACATAAAAATAATGGGCTATGATAATGTGTAAATAGCAGAGATGTTTAAGCTAAAATTAAAGCTGCGGGGGAGGGATGATAAGAACAGTTAGTGAGAGTAATGGTAATGGATGTAGAGCATAGGTAAATAAATCTTTTTGAAAAAAATTTGGCATTGAAAAGGTCAAGCATAAAGTAGAGCTACAGAGGAACTCAAGGCAAAGGCAGGGTTGTTTCCTCTCTTCCTTTTTTAAATTGGGAGTCGTCTGAACATGGCTAAATGCAGGCAGATGAGAAAGAGTTAATTGAGAGAGAAGTGACTTATGTTTGAGAGTGAAGGATAACTGACAGTATGTGTCCAAAAGCAACTGCTACTCCTTTCAGAACTATAAAGGTTAGAAATAGGCATGTATGACTGCTACTGAGCAAGGTACTGTGGAGTATGGATTCTCTATGAAATACCATCAACTGACCTAGATTTTTTTCAAAAGTAGTTGAGATTGACAGTCTTTCTATTGCTTATTTCAAATAAAAAAATAAAGTCTGTATTTCAATATTTTACCTGTTGTCTTCGGTTTCCTGAAATTTCTTGACCTTGGGATTCTACTGAAGCAACTTTTTCTCGAAGAAGTAAGACTTCTTGTGTCAGGCGTTCCATAGCTGGTATGTCTTCAGGATCAACCAGTTGCATTTGCAGGTCCTAGAAATTAAAAAACAAGTAATAAGTATAGATATTAATATAGTAATAAAAGCTGTTCTAGCAGAGGAGCAAGGGAACAAATATTCTTGAAATAATCTACTATACTTTCAAGTGGGATATTGATAAGCACTGGCCAAGCACTTCCAATAGTCTTTAAAAAGCTTTGAAAGACCTTTATGAGGTCTTCTTTTATCTGTATGTTCCTGGTCAGGGACTCCAGATCAGCAGCCTGCACCTGTAGCTCTTCCTCTTGTACAGCCATCATAGACTGTAGAGCAGAAAGTTCCATCTGGGGACAAAAGAAACACTGGAGTCAGCAGGTAGAGGAAACAACAGCTATCACATTTACATTTCAACAATGAGGCAACTGCTTTTCATATCACATCACTATCAGCCAATAATGCAAAAGAAAACAAGAACATGAACAGAGCTCTACTGGAACAAATAAATAAACCACACAGCATGGTACCAAATGTTGTTTCATGGGAAGTTGTAATGGTTGTTTTTAATGGTGTTCCTCTATTTGAGTTAGCAGTATAAAACCATCAAATTTATTTAATTTAACCATATTTATTATGACACCTAAAAACTGGTTATCTTTAGCAGAAGTAAAAGATGAAGTTCTTCTTCATATAAGTTCCTTAGCTAATAGATTAAAACATTATAGAACACCTCCATTATGCAAAACTTAATGAATTAATAAATAAGGCATCAAACAAAAATAGCTGCTAACATCAGAGATCACTAAATATTACATGCTTCCTACTAAACATGCTACCACCTGCAATGGAATCTTACACACAGTTAGCACTGTAGGCCCTAAACTTTCAGTGTTGTATTTTCCTTCCCTCCTCATTAGAAAATGATAAACATCGTTATAACAAATTCATTAAAAATTATGATAATAACCATAGCTGAGTTGTTCTCACAAACTTAGCGATCTGGCTAATCTACTTCTTGTCCTTCAATATCGGCCACTTTTATCCTTATTCTTCACTTTCTAGGAATACAAGACTTTTTCTGTTCTTGTAACACAGACTCTTGATTCATGGGCTTTATACCTATTACTCGGTCTGCCTGAAATATCTTTTCCAAGGATGCTTCCTTCCCGTCCTCAGGACCCCAGTATCATCTGCTCAAAGAAGTCTTCTTTGACCACTCCAGTTAAGGTGGTCCCCATCCATGTTACTTTCTATCACTTTTTTTTGTATCACTCATTTTAATCTTCAATTATAATATCATAATATTTTATAATGCTTATATTAGCAAATATATCAAGGAAATCTTATATTTATAATTTATAATATCTAATGGCATAATTATTATAACATATTATAATTTATAATATAACATGTTTCTTGTCTTTTATCTCTCTAGTAGAAATTACACAGAGCCAGAATGGGACATTGTTGATATTGCTCACTACCTCAGCCCTGCACTAGCTTACAGAAAGTATCCCATATATGAATGAATGAACAAGTGAACAAATGAATCCTCACAGAAATCCTATGGGGCAACTACTTTTCAATTTACAGATAAGGTGACTTCTACACCTCAAATTACAGATGAGGTGACTGAGACAGAAATTAAGGAACCAATTCAAAAATCACAGAGTTATTAAGTGGCAGATCCAGAGTATGAACTTGTGGAAGCAAACTTGATTCACTAGGCATAATGTCTTTCCTGTAGGTATCGTATTCCATATAATCTTTACGGCAATGGCAAGTTATTTCAAATAAATATTTTATAGAACTATTTTAAGATAATCTTTAAAAATTCAGTGGAACAAGTGAAGAGAGATGGTAGAGAAGCCAATTTAAGGTATAATTAAGCTTCCTAAAGGAAGCAACACTTCTTCCTTAAGCACATAAAATTTAAGTCAAAAGTAAGAAAAATTTTATTCGTGTATCTTCTAATTCCATCAATGCTTGCAGTATAATTGTGTGGCTCATATGATTTAGTAACAGTTATTTGATAGTTTTAACTACCTTTATTTTCCTTCCATGCTGAAGGAGCTCAGTTAGTGTAACTCTTGACATTTCTTTGCCCCCAATCAGGGGGAGGGACTTGACTTATCTGTACACAGTGGAAGAATAAACCAGGCCTGCTTGGCTCACACCCCCCACTTCCTCTCCTTAGAAGACACTGGGCTAAAGGAAGACTATTTCTTATCACTGCTTCTCCAAAGGCAGTTTGTTGCCCACCACAGAATAGTCTGCCAGGCCCAATGCTGCCTGTGACTGAGCAGGTCAATTACCCAATCCAGGTCCAACATCGGTTCTTACATTAAGTTTTCTAAGACTCTGTCAGTATTAAATCTGATAAAGCTTCAGGCTATCTGCCACCAATTTGTTTTATTTCTCAATTTGTTCAGGGTTGGGTATGAAAAAAGGGTGCTATTTATCAGATCCTCTTCAAAGAGATAGATAGATAGATAGATACAAACAGACATCCAGGTACTTGGTTCCATTGAAGAAAAATGAAAACATGAAGAAGAAAACATTTTTACAGCATGATAAAAGGTCTGCAGGTAAGACTGACACAGGTTTTAAATCCTGGCATAAACTCCTTTACAAGGCATTTAAACTAATGATTTCCTCAAGTGTAAAATGGAAATAATATAGCTACTTTTCAGGGCTACATAAGAAATACAGAAAATGTTTTACAAGTACTTGGCACATTACAGGGAATTAATGAAGTAACTACTGCTGCATCTATATACTACTATAATATCAAGACAGGAAATATGGGGAAAATCGACATAGCTTTTGGTAAATACCTCATGTTAGATGGAATGTGGTAATACATTTATATGTTATTGGACTTAGAAGAGGGTAATGGATTAAGGATTCATGAAGTTAAGCAATAGCTAAATATCATTCATAAGCATTATAATTTTATGATCACGAAAACAGAACAGAATCAAAAAGTAACATTACTCTGAATTTGGTACATATGAGAAAAACAGAAATAGTATGTGAAAATTAAAATATCTGACATGAATAATCAATCAATGGCTAAAGTAAAGGAAAAAAGGGAAAGGATTAGGGGATTTAAAAACTAATTTTTTAAAATGCCATGCATGAATTGGTTTATAAGCAAAAATATGGTAATAAAATCAAAAGGTATAATAAGACAATTTCATCATAAATATAAACAGATTTTATATTATAAATCAAATTATAGCAAAAAAGGTAGAAAAAGCTAGGAACTGAGCTAGCTAACTTAGGAACCCATGACACTGACTTTTTTTAAAAATATTTTTTGGTTATTGATGGACATCTATTTTATTTGCTTATCTATAGGTGGTGCTAGGAATCAAACCCAGTGTCTCACACATATGAGGCAAGCACTCTACCACTGAACTACATACAACTCCAGCCCCTGACTGACCTTTTAAAATAGATGCCATAGCAACATGTGTATAGTTTTTGTCTGTAATGCTATGTTGTAGCCCTAACATTTCTTCTACATCATAGCTGGACATACAACTGGCTATATGGGGAAGACAGAGGAAGGATTTCTATAAGACTGACAGGTTTCTTCTAAGAAAATGGATGAAAATTACTGATAGAAAGAGTTCATGCATAAGATGGGGAAGAGTATCTATTCCAAGAAATGACTTCTTAGAAGGAAAGTATTTGGAGACACAAAAGACTTTGAGTCTAAATCTTAGCTTTGGCATTTATTAGTTAGGACTAACCCCTGTCCCATTAAAAATAAATAAATTAGTGTTTCAGCTTTTCCATCTATAAAATAAGTCCAATACCATCTATTTTGTGTAGAGTTGTGAACACTGGCATTAATTTAAGAATTCAGCACAGTCTAATGCATATAAGAGTACTCAATAAATATTATTGCTCATACTCAAATTTCTCTTGTTTAATGCTTCTAAACTCTAATTTCATGAGTCTAATGTCATAATTCTAAGCAGCAATAACATAGCATTTCCTCTTTTCACAAGTGTTTTACAATCATTTTATTACAGTTATTAATGGGTAGAAAAAACTTCATTATTTCGGTAGTAAAAAAGCTTTAAAAGTCCCCATTATAAAAATAAGAGGATCTTATTGGATAAAATATATATATATATATATGTATGCATATATAATATATATCTTATTTACATATATTTTTATGTTATATACAATGTTATATATTATCTATATCTTACATATACATCTTTTATATATAAACACACACACACATATAAAATGATTTATATTTTTTTCCAAAAAGAAAAAAGGTATACCTTATATTTGAACTTAGATATTATACTTAAAGAATCGTACTCTTTTAAATATAAACTATTCTGGGGGAAAAAAAAAAAAAAAAACAGGAATTTAGAAATTAGCCTTGACTATAAAACTCACCTGACTTTCTCTTTCTTTTTTAGTCATAAGTACAAGTTCCTCTTTGGCATTACTCAGTTCTTTCTCCAGTCCTGCAACTGTGTCCAAGTCTCCTAAAATGAACACATAGTGCCAGTTTTAATCACTAAAAACATGTAATCTCTGCTGCCTCATTTTTTGAGAAATTTTCTTGGAATATGCATTCCAGCAATTAAGAAAAAATACACACACACACACGCACACACACAGGTTTTTTTATAGCATTATTTATAATAGCAAAATATTGCAATCACTCTACATGGGAAAGAGAAAAGATGGAATCAGCCACAGTGTATTCACACTAAGGACTATATATATACAGCTGTAAAAAAGAATGAGGAAGTTCATGAACTTATATGGAGCAATTTCAAGGATACATTAAGTGAAAGAAGCTATGTTCAAAAGAATACTTCTATCTGGAAAAGGGGGAAATATGTGACACACACATACAAATTATGTATGTACATGATTCATCTGTTTATTTTTGCAAAAAGATATTTCATTAAGGATAACACAGAATTTAACAATTTTCCTTCAGAGAATGAAAAGAAACATGAGAGAAAAGATTGGAAAGCAGATGGGACTTCTGAGAATATTTTTTTCATCTACTTGACTTTTTAACTGTGTTAATGTTAAATTTTGAATGTGTAAGTTAGTTTGACAATAATAGGACATAAAAATCTAAAATTATGGAATACAGAAGGTAGATATTATAATAATTTTTTAAAAGACACAATCCACTTACACAACAAATGGAATGGGAAGATGAGGGCAAGATAACTTTTTTTTTTGTAAAATAATTTCATAATAGATAAGAGAAAAAATTTAAGAACTAGGAAATTAATTTTTAAAAGTTCAAGCAAGGTTTAAAGAATGCTAAAGCCACTGACTATTGGGAAACACAACTGTCAGCATCTCAAGCTATCAGCCTGTAGAGCACTTACTAATTACAAAGGGGAAAATGAACCTTTACAATGGAGAGATCTGGCACACATTACAACCTTAACCAAAGGATAAAATTTGTTACCACTACGTAAAAATTTTTCCACATTTGATGATCTGATACTTATTCCTGTATATCCAATTATTCAACTTGATGCAAACTGACCAATATGCACTAATGGGATACACCCAAAAAGACATCACTCATAGGATTCTTGACAAAAATGTTTAACCTGAACCTAACCATGAAGAAACAATGATAGACAGTGCTCTGAATTCTTCAAAAATCCTAATGTTGTAAAAGACAGGAGGAAAAAGGTTGGAAAACTGTTCTAGATTAAAGTAGACTGAAGACAGGACATCTAAGCACAATGCATGTCCCCTGGTGGCAAGAAGAAGCAACTACAGAAAATGTTATTGAGACAATGAGAATTCTAAATATGGATTATATATTTAGATAGTAAAAATACATTAAGGTCAAATTTCCTAAACATGATAATTACATTGTAAACATGTAGGAGAATGCCTTTGTCCTTAGAAAATACTTGCTGAAATATTTACAGATCAAATGTCATGATGTTTATAAGAAATTTAGAAAAAAAGCATTATATCTATATATGTTGTGCACACGGAAAGAAATAATGCAAATGTGGCAAATGTTAACAATTGATGAATCCTAATAAAAATGTATATGGGTATTCACTACACTATCGTTGCCACTTTTCTGTAGGTTTGAAATTTCCAGAATAAAAAGTTGGGGGAAAGTATGTTTTTTTCTGCTATCATATATACCTAATTAAAATAAATAAATAAATTTTAAAAAGAAAAAGGCAAATATAAAGTAAATTACACAAATCTAGCATTCATTACTTTTGGGGCAATGCAAAGGTTTCTTGTTAGATAATGAAACTTGTGCAATTTTTCCCACAGAATCATCTAATACCATACACTATAATACAGGTGCAAACTTTTTACATTCTTGGTGACAAAAGAAATCACAAGTTAATTGTTTAAGTTTACACCCTTTCTGGTTCCAGCATTATAATCCCTACCTCATTAATCATCACCAGTAGCTTCTTCTGTAATTCTCTGGGAAACAGCTTCCTTAAAGCTACCCTAAATACCAACCTTTTGCTCTGTAAATGCAGAAACTCCAATCCAAGGTTTCTACTTGAGTTTTGCTCCCACCATGCTTAGAATGTGATTGTCTTTGGGGAGTTCAAGCCCTACAGCCATTCCTTGAATAAGGTTGAGCTTGGAAAATAATTCAGGTATATTGTCCCTCCTAATACTTTAATGTAAGTGTTGTCAAGTTACTATGAGCACCCCACTATTGAAAGATATCCAGTAGAATGTATCAGTTCCATTGGTCCTGCTGTGCAGGTTTGGAAACACTACTCTGGCATTTCCGAATCCCTGCAAAACTCTCTCAAAAGGAGAATTAGGATTCAGTTTCCCTGGAGTAAACTGTGAACTCTTTTTTTTTTTTTAATATTTATTGTAGTTGGATACAATATTGTAGTTGTAGTTGGATACAATATCTTTAATTAATTAATGTATTTTTATGTGGTGCTGAGGATCAAACCCAGGGCCTCGCCTGTGCTGGGCAAGCACTCTACCACTGAGCCACAACCCCAGCCCCAACTGTGAACTCTTATCAACATAAATTATGGGCATTTCTTCTGAGAACTGACATGTCTCCAGCCTTTCAGAGGAATCCAAACATTTTTTTCTGTTAAAAGAAAGAGTTGTGGCCAAACCTATTAATATAGAGATACAGGAAGGAAAACAAAAGATCTTTTCATGAAACAAAATTTGATACTTACCTAATGTGGACCTGGGAATGCTAGCATCCTCTTTAGCAGGCAAGGAAGTGCTATCATTTCTGGAGGGTATTTGCATTGATGCCTAAAAATTGGAAGAGTTGGGGAATTTAGGAAGACACAGGAACTATGATCACAATGGCAGGACTTGCAATATTCTCACACAGTTTCATATTAAAAGTTATTAAACTTATATGCCTGAAATGTAAGCAAGAAATGCTGCTGACATGAAGTCTACATAAGTCTACAGTTCTTACTTGATCAGTTTGCTCTCCCAGATTGGGGCTCATGGAAGTAGCTTTAGCTTGTTGGTTAGAGACGAGTGTTTGAGCCATCATTAAGTCTTTCCCTCCTAAATGCTGGCGCACAGCCTGTAATTCTAAATTTCTTTCCATTAGGGCTTGCACCATCTTCTCTGCAGCAGCCTAGTGAGAAGAAGTCACAAATAACATTAGAAAGATATTGCAGTAAAATAAACACAATTTGTTTTCAAGTGTAATTGCTTAAAGACCAACCATTTAGAAAAAGCTATTGCGGGGGCTGGGTTTGTGGCTCAGTGGTAGAGCACTTGCCTAGCATGTGTGAGGCACTGGGTTCAATTCTCAGCACCACATATAAATAAAGTAAAGGTCCATCAACAACTAAAAAAAAATAAAAAGCTACTGGGACCCTAAGAAATAGTTTCCTTGCTATCAGTTTATAAAGAAAAACAGTCAAGTGAGTAGAAAAAAAAGTTGCTCATAGGCAAAATGTTGAAAAAAAAAAACATAACACATTTATTACAGATAAGAGAAACTGAAGTAGATTCTGCTAGAACTCTATTGGTCTAAGGTGTTAAGGTTCTGGTTTGAATTGGTGTAACAGATGACTGTCTTTACTCTTACTTGTTTCTTTGCCCTGGATTACTCTTCACCTATATATCTGGATGGTTTGCTCCCTTCAGGTCTTTGCCAAATGTCACCTTATCAGATTGGCCTTCCCTGAGTATCCTGTCTAAAACAACAATCTTGTGAGTCACAAGGCACAAATATTCAGTTATGAGTAAGTTCTGGGGATCTAATGTACAACACAGCGACTATTGGTAATAATGTTATATTGTTTACCTCTATTTGCTGAGAGAGTAGATCTTTAATGTCCTCATTAGGGATCCACACATAGGAAATAACTGTTTCCTAAGACATTGTATCCATCTAAACTAAAAAAGTATTTTTTTTAAAAAGCCATTTAGGTGATTCTTCTGCCTGTAAAACTTGAGAATGCAGAAGAGTACAACTAATACTGTTGCTGAATTTAAAATCTTCAGTCATTTCCATTAGCTCCAAGGTTCCATTATTTTATTATCTGCTGTGTAGTAAAAAGATGTATAATAAGACTAATTCTTTCAAATAACAGAGGTTAAAAAGAAACTTCAAAGACTTAGTAGCCTCTTGTCAAAGACTTAAATGATTCACAATAATTTTGTTAGGTCTCTTCTAGAAGTGATCATTGAAGTATGTGGCAGGATGTTTCTAACAAAATGTGTATTTACTTCAGTAGGCCAGAGAATTAGAAGAGTGGAATATCACTATCCCATGATACAAGAAAGCATCAGAAAATATTGTGGTAACATAACATAGGCAAGTAAGAATGCAGCTTCCTCCAAAAACTGATTTTGAGCTACTGGTCCTTAATATGCAGCATAAGTCAACTAGTAGTCTTTGCCCTTAAGGAAAAAGATAAAAATGAAGGGAAAAATAAAAAATTATTTCTGAAATAGTTGTATACCATTATTTTGAGATTAACACTCAATATTGAGTATGGGAATGTATTCTCTTCATGTCCTTTCAAAACCAATCATTTTTTTTTTCCTCCTGAGATAGGAGAGAAATACTTTTTCGGGGGTGAGTACCAGGGATTGCACTCAGAGGCACTCGATCACTAAGCCACATCCCCAGCCCTATTTTGTATTTTATTTAGAGACAAGGTCTCACTGCGTTGCTTAGCACCTCACTTTTGCTGAGGCTGGCTTTGAACTTGAGATCCTCCTGCTTCAGCCTCTCGAGCCACTGGGATTATAGGTGTGCACCACTGTGCCCAGCGAAAGAAAATACATTTGATTGTAAGTTTTTCCATACCTCGAATGGAAATATAAAATGTCACTCAAGTCTTGATAGTTTAGAATTAAAATCAAAACACTCCAAAACTCCATACCTTGTTCTCTTATAATGATCAAAGCATTAAGAAAAAATCAGTGTAGACAATGCAGTTAATGAACACGTGTTTTTGGCACAATTCCAAATGTGGTGTTTAAAACACATTTAACACTTGGATGATTGATGTAAAACTGAAATCTATTTAATAAACAGCAGGAGAGAAACTATGGAGTTTCTCCGTATATCATGTAAAATGATATACACATGTTACAAATGATATTTTTCTGGTCTCTGCACTAGTCCTTACCTGGCTCTCCTGCTCCCTGGTGCTCACAGACTGAAGCAGAACCTGAACCTCCATTTCATGTTCCAAAGCTTGTTTGTTCCGATCACTTAGGAGGTCCTGCAGCATCCTTTCTTTTCGCTGTAAACGCTGGCAGAGCTCCTCAGCTATTTCACTCTGTCCCGGTCCCAGTTTGCAGAGCAATGTTGCACTAAGATCCTGATGCAGAAGGAATGGTGTAAGATTTTGGAAAAAAAAGTTCTTTCTAACACATATTGAAATGCTTATAAGAAGTGTCATGGAAGAAAGAGCTTTGAGGTTCTTGAGAATAAACATCATGTTTTATCCACTTTTGTTTCCCCGCATTTAGGAAAGGCCTATGACTCAGAAGGCTAGACATGCTCAGTGAACAAACACTAACAATATAAAATATATAGAGTGCCAACTTACATATTGTTCTCTGAAATAAATTCTTCTCTTATTTGCTCAGGGAACATAATAATTAATGTTAGATGAGAACAAATGGACACTCAGCCCAAGTGTTTCATTTATTTTCTCCCCAGCAAAAACTTTTAGGGGAGCATCAAACAGAAAGTTAAAAAGGAATGACAAAAACTGTTTTAATAAGCAGGCTGATGCAATTCCTATCTCTATATTGGTGGTTAAAACTGTGAAGCCATACTGCCTGGGTTGAATACTGGCTCTGACACTTAACTAGCTGGTACCTGGATAAGTTAACTTCAGAAGTCTTTTCCTTGTCTGTAAAAAAGGGATAATATTATGTCCCTCATATATTTGTGAGGATTCAATAAGTTATTGCCCATTAAGCTCCTAAAATAGTACCTGACCTGACATGAGCACCATAACTAATAAAGGTTAGTTATCATATTACAGATGCATATTTTCGATCACATTAATTCTCACATAACTTCTTTGAGAAAGATAAACATCATCTTAAGTTTACAGATATGGGGAACAAGTCTTAGGGAAAGCCAATTACTTGCCCAGAAAATGAAATTAAAGACTTGGATAACTTGCTTCCCAGACTTCTAGAGTCCTAAGTCAAGAATGAAATCAAGTAACCACTAAGCCAACTGCTTTTAAGCTAACTGAGGTCTTGCCTCCACTTCTTTGTTCCTGTCATGAAGAGATGTCTGTAACTGCTGAACGATACTCTCTTGTTCCTTCTGCCAATGGCTAAATTTGGTTTCCATTTCTTCTTGTAGCCACTGGAGGTTGTGACAGGTAGCAGTTAACTGTTCAACTTCTAGGCCTTTGGCCCTCAGGAGACTCTCCATGCTCTATAGTCACAAAGAGAGCAATCATAAGTTAAAAGAGCTATTCTATACTTCTCGTGATAAATGAGAAATTAGATCCACCTTTAAATTAGCACCTATTAACTTTTTTGCAAGAGGAGAAAACTAAGTAACTAATCTAACAATGTCATACTAATTTATTTTTTGTTTTTAGAAATTCTTAACTAGTTTGTGGAGAGAGAAATACTAGGCCCATGATAAAATGGAAACATTATAGAGGAAGTAATTTCTCTGAAGAGAAAGTAAATGACTCCTTTAAAAAGTGACAGATGGTTAGTTATATAAGCTTTAAAATAAGTATGTAAATAAAAAGCTCATGGTAAATGTTAGTAAAATAAACAAGTGTTCTAATTGTGGGAATACAGGGACGTGTATGTAATATTAATGAGATGAACAACAGTTATACCCTGGAAATGCTTATGTAAAAATGTATATGTGTGGGGAAGGATGTGTATGTATCTATATCCAAATCCCATTTCCAAAGATGAAAAATAAATTAGAACCATGTAAATAGAAACCAGTATTCACTGACTTCCTCTACAAAAACAGAAGTGCTGTAATTTCTCACAGTTTTTTTTCTAATTTTTAAGTTAGACACAATACCTTTATTTTGTTTTTTTTTTTATTAGCTACACATGACAGTACGATGATCTTGACAATTCATACATTTGAATCAAATGGGGTATAATTTCTCATTTTTCTGATTGTACAGGTTGCAGAATCACATTGGTCATACAGTCACCTATATACATACAGCAATAATAATGTCTATTTTATGTGATGCTGAGCATAGAATTCTGTTCCTCATGTGTACTAGGCAAGTATTCTATCACTGAGCTACAACCCCAGCCCTAATTTCTCACTTTCTAGTCTATAATGATGGAACTAGTAAGTGCTACTTTTGTTTATATATATATATGTGTGTGTATAAATAAAAATAATATACGTGTGTGTATACACACACACACACACACACACACACATATATCCATATACTTTATAAAGCAAATACTCTGGTTTTCAGAAAATGATGGAGGATGCTGATGCTTCAGGCTTAGAATGCAAGTGGGAGAGGAATACCAAGTCAAGACAGATTTTGCTCTTACATGCATGGTAGCTTCATTAGAAGAGAGGACACTGCACAGTCTCTCTATGTCATGATCTCGCTCTCTCACAGCAAGATGAAGCTGGCGCAGTTCTTTGTCTTTTTCTTCTAGAGCAGAGAACTTTTCATCTATAGCCCGCTGTAACAAAAAGTAAAGCTCCTAATTCTACAAGGTTCATTATCTTGATTACCATTTACTCAATGAGCTTCAAAATATGAGAGAATGGAAAACCAAAACCCCAAAGGAGAAAATTAAGTAGACATAAATTTCTTGATACTCATGTACATAGAATAACCTATAGCCCAATAAGCAAAACCACAACACGTACCTCTAGAGCAATAGCTCTATCATGTATTCGTTGCCGAAGTTTCTCAAGCAACATTTCATTTGCTTCAGGGGTTTTTTCTGAATTATCTCGATACTGTAGGAGCTCCTGAAATTCCTAATGAGACAAAAGATATTCCTTTATTCACTTATCTATTACTAACTGTATTCCTATATTTTGCTAAGTAATCTGTCATTTAAGATAAAAAACATGATTATTCTTCGCAGGGGGAAAAATTTAGCAGAGATAGCATTCATGTAAATTGTTAACTATTCTGCAACATACAACATATATAATACATAGAATTGATAACCAATCTTCAACATATAAACATACTAGCATGCTTGACAGCTAACTAGTAGGGGAACACAGGGTATATTGCTTGACTCTCTGCCTAATAGTACAATAAAGATCTAACAAAGGAGGAACGACTTGCACTGATAAAAGACTAGGATTTCTGGGCTGGGAATATAGCTCAGTTGATAGAGTGCTTGCCCTGCATGCACAAGGCCCTGGATTCAATCCCCAGCACCACAAAAGACTAGGATTTCTTAAATGAAGAGGTTCTAGGGGTACATTCATAAGAAAAAAAAAAAAAAACACTTTTATACACAATATATGCATACAATGAAAAAAATCAGATACTCAGTGAAATATAAGCGATTCAATGTGAGTGAAGCTTAGAGTAGATGGCAAAACTGATCACTCTCCTTTTTCTCTCTCTCTCTCTTTTTTTTTTTTTTTGTGGTAATGGGGATTGAATTCAGGGGCACTTAACCACTGAGCCACACCCCCAACTCTATTTTGTATTTTGTTTAGAGATAGGGTCTCACTGAGTTGCTTAGCACCACTTTGAATTCGCAATCCTCCTGTCTTAGCCTCCTGAGCCACTAGGATTACAGGTGTGTGCTATTGCGCCCGGTCTGATCACTCTTCTTAATATCACATTTTTCTTTAAAACTTTCATTCTGTCATTTAACTTTCAGGAAATTTATGTACAGATGTCTTCTCCTATTAGATTGAGAGAGTAGCCAAATCTCTTTGTTTTCCCAACCCCTGGCATAGTGTCTAACTCGCAGAGGTGCTTACCATTTGCTGAATACTGGTTAAGTCTTTCAGGTCTATGCAGATGTTTCTTACTTGATGATTAGCATCTTGATTTAGATTGTATTTTCTACTTATTTTAAATCTTCCTGATTCCCACAACTTAATATTCTACTTACAGCAGGATCTCAACACAGATGATTAATACCTTCATATTACAGGAACAAGAATTTCAGAGCTCTATGAGTACAGTTTCATTGAAGTCATAAACACTCACCTGAAGCAGCTGCTCCTTGTGACTTAGACTATGGTTTAGGTGTTGAATGTTTTGTTCCTGGGTTCGAATCTCATTGTATTTTTCAGCCTCCAGGGTACGAAGCTGTTGGCTCTTATTCTGCAATTCTCCTTGTAGCTGCTGCAAAGCTTTCCGCAATTCCTGAATTAAATATATTCCCTTCTTAAAGCAATCTAAAGTTTTTACATAGTCATTAGATACATTAAAATTTTCAAGATATATAATGAAATATACAATAGCAGAAAGTGCTATTATTAATATTGCTATAGAAATTTGGATCAAATAGGATATGAAAAATTGTGAAAAAACTGTGGGGGTAGTAGGAAATAAACTTGATATTAGAGTTCAATACTAACTTTAAATATTTCATGTATAAATTCCCATCAGAAGGGATGTAAATAATACAGAATTATAAGTAATAAGTGAATGTTCTTTTTTTCACACACCCATGAGTTATAAGTGAATACTTTGCATGTTTATGGTCTACACATTTATATAAATATGTGTGCAGATATTTATAAATAATAGGTATGTATGCAACGTACTGTAAAAAAAGAAAGGGAGCTCTATATAAAAATTAAACAAAACTTAGGATATGTTTCCTTTGTGTGCATAATAAAAAGTTGAGAATTATTTCCATCCCTATCCTTCTATCACTACCCCGAAACTATCAAGACAACTGAATTTTAATACTTCTAAAGGAAATTCAGGTCTCATATTTATCATCCAAAGTACGAAACCAGGAAGATGCTTCAAAAACTGTACTTTTAAATCTGAGTGTCAGGGAGTCTAAGAGAAGCTAGCACAAAAAAGATCTTAAGATCTTCAAACAAGACAGACCGAGAGAGTGAGAAAGAATATACTCTCAACCAAGAAGAAAAAGAAATTCATTTAAGAGTTATGTATTAGACATTTTTCAAATTACACAATTAATTGTACTTTCCATTCCTTAGACCTTGGACATTCTTCCCCACTTTTCTGTTTGGCTCACTTTCACACCTCCCCCTGCTTCCAGAACACCTCATATTTCATCAAGCTTTCCCTGACTCCCTCTTCAGCCCCTCCTACATATTCTTATAAAAATCCATACATGGCTCCTCTGCAGTATTAACCACACTGATATTCTGTTCAGGTGCTTTTCTCACACTAAATTATAAGTAAGTTAAGAGGAAGGAGCCTGTGGTATTCACCATTATACTTCCACAATGTAGTTCAATATCTGGCACATGACACATGGGCAACAAATGTTAAACTGAATTACTCAGACTAAAAAAATGACTCAAAGGTTAAGGTTCAACATACACAGTCCTGCTAAAAAGTTACTATCAGGGCAAAGTCAGCATTTGGGGCTACAAAGTGGTTAATGATTTACCTGGTTATGTTTCCAAGAAGCTTCTTTCTGCTGTTCACTCTTGTTTGCTGCAGCTTCCGCAAATTGCACACATCGCTTGGCATCAGCAAGTTGGCGTTCCTTCTGTCGTACCACCCTCTGAAGCTTCTGTATTTCAAGCTGGCTGCAGAATAAAGCACTCTGAAGATCAAGCAGAGCCACCTGTTGCTGAGCTGGGGAAGTACCCTCAGAGCTCTGAAGAAAGAGAAGAAATTATCCTCACGAGGAGGGCAAGCATTGAACACCTGAGAAGACTGTAAAGACAAAACATAAAACCAAATGGCACATGCCCAACTGAAGTCTCTCCCTATGACGTTCACATACCTGAAGCTGTCCAAGCTGGCTTTGGTGCAGCATTTCTCGAAGCTTTGCCATTGTGTCATTTTGACCTTCAATCACCTGGTATAACTCCTCAGTCTGAAAATGAGAGAGAAGTGCCAAACATGTTAACAAACTAAATATAAATTCAATTATCTTGCCTGTATAGTAACAGGATTCTTACAAAACACCAATTTAGGTTAAGATACAATTTTTCCAGGTTAAGATTTGTTAGTCTGATAATACATACTTCTACAAAATATAGAATACTGTCTACTTTGATGGGACAAATTGGTTTCTCACAGGTTCTTGATTGCTAAATATTTTACCTCATTTTCCCTGCTTTTCAGAGTTTCCTTGAGGCTTTGAATTGTACCATCTTGCTTCTGAGATAACTCCTGAGCAGACTTTAGTTCAGAGCTCATTTCATTTAGTTTCTCTTGAAGAGTCTGAATTAAAAAAAAATAGTTTGCTAGTTTGTTAGGTCAAGGATATCTTTAAACTTTAACGCAACCAAAGTACTTCCTCAAAACCAGGTTCTGAAGAATTTTTTACAGAATAGTACTTTCTTATTTTTCTCACATACAGTAACCATAAAGTTTAAAGCCAATCAACACAAGGAAATAGAAATAAATGTGAAATACTTCCTTCAATACTCAGTTGCCTCAATTCTCACGCACCATGCTTTCTCTATAATGGTAGCTATAGTAGGCACTTGTCCACATGAGTCACTGTGGATTCCTCACCTAAGACCAAGGAGCTTCTGCTATCTTATATAGGACGGGATACTACAAGGACTCAGCAGGCAAGAAACTCAGCATCCTAGATTGTGGCATTGTTTTTCTAACAGACATGAAAATCCATGAGCTATAAAGAAGTGAAGTTAAGCTAAGATCAAAAGCACAAAGATCAAAAAGTGATACCTTACACTGTTAAAGGTTGTGTGCAAGTTTTAATTACATTCCTAAACGATACCAGATATTGGAATCTGGGCAGACCTCGCTAAAATCTTGATGAGAAATAAAGGAAAGGACTAAACTTATAAGTGAAAGTTCCCTAGAGCATCAGAAGACCACAGAATTCACCTCTCAAGTCCTACTCGGGTCAAAAGACTTGGACTACAGCCAATCACATCCTCAGGAAAATCCTGTGCTCTCCAGGAGCACAGGACTAATCATACCTTGTTGGTGGCCTCTGTTTGCTGGAGTTTTTCCTGAAGTTCTGCCACGTGGGAATCAGATATAGACTGCTGAGTTACAGTGGTCTCATCTGAGTTCCTCTTTTGTTGTTTGAGTACCAAATCTTCAGGCAGCGACTAGGATGAAGCAGCAAGACAAGATGAGTTAAATGCAGCCAATAATAAATTTTACTTTTATGTTCAAATATCTGTGGCATGTTTTTCCACAGATTGGGAACACCAGAGTTGTTACATGAAGTACCAGTAAAACTTCCTGAAGACAATCCTGGTCCTTGCTAAGAGCAGTGATTCACCTCCATCCTTTCTATGCTCTCCAGCCTTCCCACCCACTCACACAGACTACATAACTAGGTGAGGTGAGGCAAATAATTCAGTTTAAAGAGAAGGGGGATTTTAAAAAGGAAATACTTATGATGACCAAATGTTTGCTTTATTCTATTTTTAATCAGGGAATTGAAAAGCTATATGGATGAATCGTATGCCATTCCTAAGAAGAGAAGTTTTATTATAATTACCTTTCTTACAACAGGCCTGTTTACATTATTGGAAAAACTGGCACATTTGAATATGAACTAGATATTAGAAAATACTCTTTTAAACCTAAACTTTCTAAATTTGTTAACTGCACTACAGTTGTAAAAGATCTCCTTGTTCTTAGGAAATACATGCAGAAGTATTTAAGGTTAAGTGACATAATATCTACAACCAATCCTCACACAGTTCAGGAATTTTTTAAAAATAATGAGCCTATACAAGGATAGGGATAAAACAAATGTGGCAAAATATCAGCAAGTGGTAAATCCAAGTAAGGAGTAAATGGGAGTTCTTTGTTCTTTTCTTACAATGTCTCCATAAATTTGAATTTTTTTCAAAATAAAAAGGAAGAAATTACAGGTACATTAAAAAATAATTATATATATTTACGTATACATATATACGTAAATATATATATGTGTGTATTTTTATATGTATATATATGTATATGCCTAATTAAAGTCAGGTATACAGTACATCCTGGATAAATAATCTACAGTAGTATAGGAAGGAAGTATGACTTATGAGGATATCAATTCACTAAAAATATTCAGGAGGAAAAAAATGCATAATGTTCATATGGGATGACTGATCAGTCTAAGATAAACTAATTAAACTGTGCCTTATAATCATCATGAGTTAAAGATGTTAAAATAAAATTTAAGGACACACTGTGGCATTAAATAACATTTCCCCTCACATAACTGTCACTCCAGTTAGGAATATAAATTCACAAGGAAGACAAAAAACAAGCAACTGCTATTCATTTTTTTCTTTCCTTTGCACTTGATTAGCACCTTCCAGGCAGTAGAGCTTGCCTCATATCCCTTCCTGTTTAGAAGTATGAAGATCTTTTCTATCCCTTCCATGCCATTTATCTCTTTCTCTAATTTCAGTCAAGTACTATAACCTGCACAGTACCCTGTGAGGAATTGTGGGGAATATAATCTAATGCATAGTTTTAACTAAACAGTCTACTAGGTTTACTGAAGAGGTATTTCCTATCATAAATACAGAGAAATACATTCATTTCAATGGGAAATGTAGGAAAGGCTCTTCAAGCAGACAAAATTTTACCCTGCATAGGGACTGGGGTTGTAGACCAGTGGCAGAGTGCTCACTTAGCACATGTGAAACCCTGTGTCCCATCCCCAGCACCCCCCCGCCCCAAAAAAAAAATCCTGGATCTAAGGAGGGGTAGAATCTTCACAGGGCATCTCAGAGCAACAGAAACAGGAAAGTGAGGGAAGTGTGGAGCTAATGGATACAAATTGTGACTTCCCTTACCTTTTTAGTGCTCATGTAATTTCACCCTTTAGAAAGGATACAATTAATAATTATATCAGCATAACAGATAAAACCAGGGCCTATCCTGAGCAAACATGTTATCCTATTTAAAAGTCTAGAGCTATTTCTGAACAGCTAGTAAAGTACATTAACCCCCCTCCATTTCATTATTTAGGAAGTCAAAATTTCAAAATTCTAAAAGACACGAATACCAAAGAGATATCAAGAAATATTTTTAATTATAAATAGATGATGGGAACTAAAAATAATCACATAGGTTTTAACAAGTTAGTGGGGGCATTTCACAAAAAGAATCTAAACTTATGACATCATTTTTTAGAAGCTAGATCTCAATGCTTATTTAGACAAAAATGAGAAACTGACCCACTCACTGTATTTTCTTATGCCTACCAAATATCAGTTACCAGTAAAGGATCCATTAATTTAATGTATTCTCTCTTGCAACACATACATGTTGAGTACCTAATGGAAGGCACAGGTCCTAGAGATCAAGTACTATAGGACAAAGTCACTGCCTCATTCAAATATATTTTGCAGGGCTGGAGTAGCATAATAAACAAACAAATACAAAATATCAGCTAGTGACAAGCTCTTTGCAGTAAAATTGGAAAGCATGGTAGAGAGTTGGTGGTTAAGTTACTCTACTGTTCAGAAGAAGGCATTTAATGAAGCAGCACTTAAATGGAAATCTAAATGAAAAAGAGCCAGTCCTTCAAATATCAGCAGAAGATCAATCCAAGCAGAGAAAAGAGCCAGTGAAATAGAAGCCTAGGAAAGAGAAAGGCCTATGTGGCTAAAGGGTTACTTTCCAACAGAAATATAACATGAGCCAGGTATGTAATTTTTAACTTTCTAGTGACTTCACTGAATAAGTGAAGTTTATTTTGATATTTAAGCAAATACGGCCAAAATATTAATATAAACATGTAATCAGTATAAAAATTACTGAGAAGCTTTACATGATTTTATTCTTATTAAGTATTTGAAGTTGGAAGTAGATTTTACACTACAGCACATCTCAGTCAGAATAGACAAGTTTCAAGTGCTCAGCAGCTACTCAAGGCCAGTGGCTAGCTTACTGGATAGCTCAGGACTGGAGCATAATGGGCAAAGGGCAGAGTAACACAATCAACTGAAAAGGTAGGCAGGGGCCCAATCAGACAGTTCTCCTAGAACAGCAGAGCTAATAAAGCTGGATTTCACACCAATTGAAAAGAAATGCAATACAGTATTTTTAACAGAAAGGAATCATATTTAAGTTTTCAAAAGACCACTCTAGCTGCTCTGTGGTGATGGACTGTTGGGGAGCACCAGCAGAAGTGGAGAGAAAAGACAGGAGACTAGTGTACTACAGGAGATGAAATACAATAGTGGCTAGGATTATAGTGGCCTTGATTCAGGTGGGATGGGGGGTAAATGAGTGGGTTTGGACAATTTTGAAAGTACAGTTAACAGGATTTGCGAAAAGAAGTAGGATATGACTCCTAGAAAAAATGTAGATATTTGATATTAATGCTGGGAATATATAAGCAATCAAAAATTTTTATTTAATAAATGAAAAAATATTAGGACAAACAAAAACAGGCCTTTTTCCTAGTTCCAAGTTCGGAGTTCTGATCCTTCAGTGGCTCTATTAATATGTACACACACACACACACACACACAAACAGCAACTGTAAACCAAAGATTGTCATAGGAAAGTATATAATGAATCTGGATCTCATTTGAACTCACATTGGCATGAATACTCACAGGAAAACTATAATTCTATAAATATAATGTAGTGACTTAAAAGCTTGAAGATAATTGTCTTTTTGTTCATAATAACTTTTTCTTTTATATCTCAGGAAAATGTCCTTTCAGATAACAATCTGGCAAAAGAGTACTTGGTAAGTGCTGCTGAGTAAAGAACTCATAATGAATTCAAGTGCATAAACCCATCACTCCAAATACTATAGTCTGAGATCAGAAATCCTTAAATTGTCAGAATTAGTGTTGCTCCCAGACTTTCGGTTATTAAGATCATGTTGTAATGAAATGCAATTTTAAATTAAGTCACTTTTTAAAAACACTTTTTTAGGTGTAATTGGACACAATACCTTTATTTTATTGATTGATTGATTGATATGTGATATTAAGGATGGAACCCAGTGCCTTGCACATGCTAGGTGAGCGCTCTACCACTGAGCCACACCCCAGTCCCTTAAATTAAGTCACTTTTGACACAGAATTAGTACAAATCCTTTCTAGCATCAGAAAAAGGATTGCCTCATGTTGCATAATGTAAGACCATTAGGCTAAAAGGCATTTTAAGTCTATTGGGTTAACAGCAATTTTCTTGGCACTTTCTAGTCCTCAAAATAATGAATCATAGATCTCAAACTAATTTTCTATCCTATCATTCATAATAGGAAACAGACAAAAACCATCAACTAGCATAAAATTAAAGGCCTAATCTTTGACCAGTATCTAATAGTCTATGCTTTTCAAAGGGCCTGATCTATTTAATAGAGCTAAGCTGAGTGAGATAACTTATCATAGTCACAAAGGAGAAGATTTTGGCATTGTAAGGTTTGAAGCAAAGATCTCTTTGAATTTACATAAAAAGGGCCAGGGTTCTCTGAAATGCTGTTTTTTAAGAAACCACACCCCTCCTATGATAGCTTTTCTACTTCAGAGCCAGACAACAAAGGAGAAAATTACCAGCTAGAATAAGGCTTAAAACCTTTCTTTAGATATCTGAAGAACCTTAGGTCTTCAGGCATGAATTCCACAGAAGGCAAAGAAATTATTTTGCATAATATCAGAAAATCGGTAAGCAGGAGAAACATGCTGTTGCTGTTTTTCTTTAATACAGAAAAAGAAGGAAAGAAAAGGAGAGAGAAAAAAAGAAAAAAAATCAATCAGGAGAATCCTAATGTTGATGTTTAATAGTGCATATAACGGGAGGTAAGTGGAGGACTAAACAAAGGAATTAAAATGACCTTAACAGACCAATTTTGCTGGCTTAAAATAACAGGTTTTCTTCCTACTTCTATCAGATTAAACTAAAGAAAAATGTTTTGCTTAACAATTTTTTTCTTCCTACAAACTAAATTGAGAACTATCAATGAAAATTTACATTGTATTTGTTCATAGAAATAGACAAAAACAGTCTGCCTTTGTCCCACCTAGTTCTGGTTTTTCCCTAAAGCAAAACAGCCCTTAAGGAGCTTAGAATCTTATCAGGCTTAAATGATAGATAGATAGATCAAGTGTCCAGAATAAAATACATA